TGTACAGAGAAGAGACGTCCAGCAAAAGCATAGCTGCTATTGGTATGCCAGTCAGAGTCGATGCAATTTCAAGGCAATACTTGTACTTTGCTTAATTTAAGGATGGCACTTTTTGCTGCACATTTTGCCACCGTACCCCTTATGCATATGTTATTCTTTGTTTGTTTATTCATTCACCCCCACGTTTGAATGAAACACCCCCATTCCTGTAAACTTGAAGAAAAATGTGTATAACACATGCATACTACCAGTTTGTACCTGTAAAAATCGGCTAAAAAATTTGAAACAACGCAAAGTTGTTGGCAGGTCAACAGATGGATTAGGTTGGCGTAAGATAGAGAAAGATGGAAGCAATTAGGAGAGACCTTCATTCAGGAGTCGATGAAAAAAGAGAGATTCTTTGTTTACTACTATGTTTTAAATCCAATACAAAATGTGTGGGCGGTAAACACCCCACATTTTTCCATAAATGCGCCTTACTGACATTAAAATAGTCACATCTCTCTTAGCTATTTCTTCTATTTACTGCTTTCAAGTAATTTACGGGTCTTGTATTACCAGAAGGTTCAAAAGAGTAGTGATGTGCAATATAAGATGTTGCTTCCTGATAACACCTCTAATCAATCCTAATTAATTAGTATCCTTACCTGCAAGAAATGTGACCTAATAACACGGATGAACCCCGACAAACCTGAACAGTTGAACTTGGAAACCTGAACTTTGTCCTCTAAAAAGGAGGAAATTGCTCTTTAAAAAGGGGGTTGGGCGATGAGCCAACTGCTCATCCCTGAAAAAAAAAACTATAGTATAGGACGGATGGATTGGCAACGATTTAATCAATGAAATTTAGAATTCGAGATAAGATGGTGGAATATCAGGACTTTGAGTAAACCTGTTGCGCAGAGGAACCTACTAAATGAACTATCTAAATATAAAATCACAATATCTGCAATTTAAGAAACAAAATGTAAACAAGTTCAAATTCAATAAACGGACCTCTTCCAGAAAACTAAAGGGCTAAAACAGAGAGATGTGCTGGCTCCGACTCTGTTTATCATATGTATGAAATATGTTTTAAAAAAATGTCTGTAAACCCAAAATCATTATTGTTTAATAAGTCTAAGCAGATTGTGATGTACGCAGATAATGTAAACTTGATTGGAAGAACCTTAAGAGACATCACAAAACTTGATGTGGAGCTTGAAAATAATGCGAAAGAAATAAAGCCAGCCGTCAACTTGGATAAAACTAAATCCCTAATACAAGCAAGGAAACAACAAAACTTAAGAATAGATGACATACCTGGACGAAATACAGCTCACACATCTGGGCGTACAGATAACTGAGGACGGCAGCGAGGAGAAGGAAATACAAAAAAGCAGGATGCTTTCTAACGAATCAGGTGTTTGGAGCCAAAGACATCCATAGAAAAGTTAAGTTCAAAATATATAAAACAATCAAAAATATATAAAACAATCATACGGTCAATAGCAACATAAACTTTTGGGAATAATAATAATATATATATATATATATATATATATATATATATATATATATATATATATATATATATATATATATATATATATATGTGTGTGAATACACGAAGTGACAACCGATGCTAATGAGATATTGAAGGAAGATAATTGTAGAAGAACAGCCAAGCAAAAGGATGCTGGAGGAGGCCAGGACTAGAGAGAGAAAGAGAGAGAGAGAAAGAGAGAGAGAGAACTTCTTTGCTTGTTCCTCTAGAGCTGATAACATATTTGCAAATCAACAAGCCAATATGGCATAGGATAAGTTGGTCTTATCTCGGAATAGTAATTTATACGTATAACTAGTAACCTTCCAGTCGTAAAAACTTGATTACTTATACTACCGCCACCACAGTATAAATTAAGAGTTTCTTTTTGAAATGTACTAAACTTTAATAGAAATGAAGCATTCGTTGGTTTGTTTGTGTATAAGGTCATTGTCTAACAGTAAAAATGTCGTTCTTGTTAAAATTTCCTTAAGTGTCTTAAATAGTAAGAAACCTTTATTTTATGGGTAATGTTGGCTAGCGTTAAATTAGACGTTTTGATTTGAGGGATTTATAGTCCATTGAAATGTTACATTGTTTAGGCGTGCATTTCTCAGAGGACGCAATTTTTATGTATTGGGAAGGTAAGTATAAGCTTAAGTTTAGGTCTGTGTGGTCGCCACTCATGTGCCCTGGCCAATATCTTGGAAAACGGGGTGCATAGGATTTTCGCGCTGTATCTCGTAAACTAGTAACTATACAGAAAATTATATTTAATATAACTAGTAGCAAATTAAAATGTCTACAATTGTCTACAATTGTTAGCAAAAGGTAACATCCTGTTTCCTTTTATCTTAAAATGGAAAATAAACAAAAATACCTTTAAAAAGAATATTGCAACACACTGTCTCTCGGGACTTATAACTTTTTTTCTGGCAATTTAACAATAAAATGACATTTGATCAATATTATAGAGGAATTGTCGGATAATAATTTTCACTTCAAATTTGTTTAATTTCATTAATTTCTTTAAATTTTAAAACGCTTCGACCGGGTTCTTGAATACTCGTCATCTTGGAATAAGGGATACAAAAAGTTTTCCAGCTGTATCTGGTAAACTAGCTATACTACAAAAAATGTTGTCAGACATTATTTGCAGCAAATTATATCATCTACTACTTTCTTCCTATTAATTTTTTTTGGGCCCTTTAATGTCATTTTACAATAAAATGACATTAAAACAATATTATAAAGGGTTTTTCAAAAAATAATTATCACTACAAATTTGTATAATTTTATTATTTTTTTCTGGGTTTTACGTTTTACAGCACTCCAAAGTTGACCGGATTTGGTCAACATAAAAACCAACCATTAGACTTAGTTTTTTATTATAATTTTTTTATTCTTATAATAATTTTTTTAAATTAACTTATCATTTTCTTACCCCAAATCGTGCGCTTGCGTCGCACGAAAAAGCACCAATAAACAGAGATAAAGGTTCATAAAAGCACGAACCAATTCCTTGGTAATGAAAAGAACAAAACAAACTTAATAGACCTTCTGAAATCAGAATTGGGTTTGATTATCGACCAAGCTAAATCTGATGCAGATAAAGTTCTCATCCATTGTGACTTGCTGCATTCCAATCATACGATTATCTTATGGTCGTTGCAGAGGACATTAGAACGGAAGCAGTCCAATGTTGTGTATCCAAAGTGTCAAATTTTTTCAACTTTCAAAAGGGTGTAAGTCGCATAAGTTATACTGTTTTTCAAGTTTTATATATGACCACGTCATTGCAAATTATTTGCAGTATCTGCATGATTTTTTAAGATGCTATAAAACATTAGTCGCCTACAAGATCGGTAAACTTAAATTCATCAAAGTTTCAAAGAAACATCATCAGTTAGCTAGCGGAATAGCTTTATTTCTCAGTGGAGAAAGCAAAGCGATTTTTGCTTACTGTCGTTGGCGAACGTTTGTTCTTCTCTTTATATGGTAGAAATTCAGATGATTCGCTGACAGTATGAGTAACAAACGATTTGCCAAGACAGTGACCAAAAATATATTTAACTTATCGCTATTTAAGAATTAGTGCTATCCTAAAGATTGGGGATGAAAAAAGCATGGAAAAAATTTGGATACCAGTGAAAACTTCAATCAAACTCTAGCACCCCACGAATTTCTGAAACTAATTTTATGCATCACAAAATTCAAAGAGTTCGAAGATGAATTATCTACAATGACTCCAATCCTAACTCCCGTTCTTCCGCAAGCATTCACCTTCGATACTGAATTAGATCCAGAACCGCAGCCTCGACCACCAAAGAAAATAAAAAAACGATAAATGAAAAACAACTTTTTAAATATTTAATTATGCTCCATATTATGTCGAGTGGAAATTGTCAGTGAATTAAGCCTAATGGAGATACCATTAAAAAAGCGCCTCCAGACTACCTCATAGGTGGTCGGGAAAAAGATCGACAATAAATTATTAATAACATAGAATGTTAACAAAATGTTAACAAATTGTATGAATAAAAAAATATATACTTAATAGAAAACTAAGCCTAATAGTTGGTTTTATTGTATTCTTACCAGTATTAAAGAACCCAGTCAACTTTGGAATGCTGTAAAACTCAGAGAAATTGATGAAATTAAATAAATTTGGAATGAACATTATTCATTGAAAAACTGTCTATAATCTTGTTTTGGCGTTTTTTTATTATAAAATGACAAAAAAAAGTTATAAGGCCCAAAAAGAAATATTTTCAAAAAATTATAAATAATTTTTTATTTTTTGTTTTACAATTAAAAGTAATAGAAATAAAACTGTAGACAATTTAATTTTCAACAAATATTGTCTAAAAAAATTCTGTATACATAGTTGATAGTTTATAACATACAACTTGAAAAGCCTTTGCACCCTTTTTCCTAGGTGGCGGCATGAGGACACGGGTGGCGACCTCATAAACTTAAGCTTATTCTTACTCCTCAACACATCAAGAAAATAAAATTGCGTCCTCTTAAAAATGCAACTGTAATGTAACTTTTTAATGGAGTATTAATTTATTACAACAACCAATCACAGTATATTCAAAGTTCTATTGGTTTTTTGAAAATCAATCTTTTCCGTTGTCTTTATTAAAACTTAAGCGTTTTCATGAAAAGACAAGCTGTTTTTCTGAATAAATAAGTCATGACTTATTCATTCATTGAACATTTCCAATTTCAAATTGAAAATTGAAACAGATGCAAAGAGAATAAAACTCTAGTAACAAACATTGATTATAGATATATTAACATAAAAATGTATTATACTTCATGACATTCGAAAAACTAAAACTTCGCAAATTTTCTTAAAATGTGTTATTCTTTCTTTTATTTATTTACGTTAAATGATGCGGTGTAACCTCTAGATACACCACTGGTGCAAAAGTACAAAACTACGCCAATAAAGTTTAATAATATTTACCTTTAAAAAGACTTCCAAGGATAAATTGAAGAATCCAAGAACTTGGAATTGTATTGGAGTTTGAGTTCTGTGAATAAAAAATATTAGATCTCTTTTCAAGCTCTTGGGAGCATCCACCCAAGGATATGAGTAGGCTGCCATGGGAATATTCTCACTCTACAAAAATTGACAGGATTTATTTTTTATTTTTATTTAGAGAAGCATATGTGTTACGATAATAATTTAGGGATTTCGAGGGAAAACATCGTGATGGTCAAATTGCTTTTAACTGTAGATTCTATTACGGTTTGATTTTTTAAAATTACCTATATTTCACTTATTTCGTCAGCCTTGTTATGAAATCTTTTGTATGACCCAATTTATATTATCTACGAAATGAAAAAAATACTCTGCTATGTAGCCTAATTCATAAAACACAAATTTTTTCGACAAAAAGTTTTAGTGATAAAGACTAGTTACGTAGGCGGGACCGACTACCGATGAACCAGTAACAACGGTCGCTACTATCCTGGTGTTTACGGGACATAATATGGAGAAATAAACACATGATGACAAAGAGTAAGACGCAAATTTATAAGACCTAATTATATAAACATAAACAAGATAATTCCATTGGAATCCGCCGACCACAGTCCATCCGATGAGAGGGTATAAATAGGCCTGCACTTGTTTACAACGAAGATTCATTAATTAGTAGTTCAGTTAATTGTATTAAGAGCGTATATTTATATTTCGGCAAATAAGTATTTTGTATTATATTTTGAGAATAAAAGTTTTTAAAAACAAAGTGTCTACAAAAATAAACTTAATTGGCGCAGTCATTCGGATTCCTGAAGGTTGAAGCAGTTTCCTGAAGGCGAATTATAAGAAAATTCCCAAGAAAAAGCAAAAATCAACCGTTGGTTTCTACCATTTATCTGGAAGAATCTACGTACCAGCATAACAAAGTAAGTTACTGAGAAATTTTATATTCCTGTCTTACTTTCCTTTTACTGGTTATTCTTTTTATTGAGTATAGAATTTTGAATTTAACTAAGTTTTTGCCGAACAAGAATATTTTTCTTTCTTATATATACTCTAGTTAGAGATTTCTAATTTTGAAATTCTTTTTCTACAGAGTAAATTATTTTAAAATATTTATATTTGAAATTTTAATAAAAAAGAGAAAATTTTTATATATATTATAGAGAATATTTTTTAATGCAAACTGATATTGAGGATCTAGTTATAAATCTAAACAAAATGGCACTTAATCAAACACCTACTATTCAAGCAGCTAAAGCACTTGCAGATTTTTTACCTACATTTAATGGCGATTCTCTGAAACTGGAAAGTTTCGTACAAAGATGCGATAAATACTATCTTACGTACGGACAAACCACAGATAATACATTAAATGACTTTACTTTCAATGTAATTTGTTCAAAATTGCAAGACAATGTTTTAAATTTTATTATGTGCCGACCAGATTTGAATACTTGGCCTCTAGTCAGAGAAACGTTAAAAAATAATTTTGGCGATAGAATTGATAGACAAACGCTCACTAAAGAATTTTTACAATTAACTAAAGGTAGAAATGAAAACATTCTTGATTTTGTTGCAAAAATTTCCCAACTTAAATCAAGAATAGAAGTTAAAATTAATTCAGAAACAGAATTAAATGCGGAGAGAAAATTAATATTAATGGATCAAAATGAAAGCAATTCTATCGACATATTATTAGCAAATGTAGATGAAAAAAATAGAACTATATTAGAAATTAGAGAACCTAGAACGTTTATTCAAGCATCAGATATTATTTCTAGACAATTTTATAATGATCAAAGAATTCAATCTTTAAATCCTTTCAATAAATTTAATAAAAGTAAACAAAACTTTCAAAATCATAAATATATTCCAAATCAAAACCAAAATTTTAATTCTAATCACAATTCTAACTTTAAAAATTTCCAAAATAGTACAAACAAAAATTTTCATCAAAATCGACCTAATTTTTCGAATTTTAATCAACAATATACAAATTCTTATTCGCATAATCCCAATTTTAATCAACCTAGTTATTCGAGGCAAACATTTCCTAGCCAACCCATAAATATTCAATCAAGACCAGTTCATAAAAAATATTTTACTAACGAACAAGTATTCGGTAAACCCAAACATGTTTTTGATCCCAAAAATGCTCCAAAAAATACGCATCAGCCAGAACCAATGTCCACTACGTCGAGAATGCCTTCTGTTAAACAAAAATTCCAATTCCAACAAAGGGCTCCTCAAAATTTCCAAGTAGAAGAACTTTATAATCTGTCAGAAGACGAAATAGAAAATAATCCTTGTTCATGTTCCCATTCTAAAAATTATTGTCATTCTCAAAATTTCGAATACGAATCCCAAGACCCAGATCAGTCAAATTTTCGCGAGCATATTCAACAAAGTCCAAACGATTAAGAAAACAAATTGATCTAAATAATATAGTCCCTAATTCACTACCATATATTCAAATTAATTTCCCAACTCGTATAAAATTACTAATTGACACAGGATGTCACCCATCTCTACTTAGACCTTACATTGCAGAAAAATATTTTCCTGAAAAAATTACTCGTCATACAACTCCTATCATTACTTGTGCCGGATCAAGAGAAGCACAATTTAAAGCCAAAATTCCCCTTTTAAATGAATATAAACTATTAGATAGCCTAGATTTTGTACTATTTGATTTTCACAATTATTTTGATGGTATTATCGGAATTAGAGATTTACGGAAATTACATTTAAATCTAGATATAAACAGTGAACATCTTTTCAACAAAACCGCAATGATACCGCTTAACTATAGGAAAAATTTTAATATTCAAAAAATAGAAATTCCCGCTTTATCTACAATAATAAAAGAAGTTTACACCTCATTGCCTAGTGGTGATTTTTATTTACAGGAAATAGAAAACCAAAATCAAACAATAAAAATTCCATCTAGCCTAATAAACATAAACAACGGAAAGACCAAAATTGAATTTATCAATAAATCTTTCCACAGTGAATTAATCAGTATAGATGATAATTTTTTAAATAACTTTGTGGAAAATATTGAAACAAACAAATACAATTATTTTTCCATAGAGGAAGTTATGAATATTTCCACAAGTAGTAATGATTTTAATGTAGAAGAAATAAATGATAATATTGAAGAAAATTTTAGAACAAAACACTTAAACGAAGAGGAAAAGAAAGCACTTCGGATATTAGTTAGAGAATATCGAGACATATTTCATCATCCTGATAATAAATTAACATTTACAAATGAAGTAAAACATAAAATTAAAACTAGTGATCAAATTCCTGTATACTCTAAAACTTATAGATATCCGTTCGTACACAAGGAAGAAATAAGAAGACAAATTAGTAAAATGTTAGAAGATGGAATAATACGACCATCTCAAAGTCCATGGAGTTCCCCAATTTGGATTGTTCCAAAGAAGCTAGATGCTTCTGGAAAACAAAAATGGAGAATTGTAGTAGACTACAGAAAACTCAATGAAAAAACAATTGATGACCGCTACCCTTTACCTTCAATACAAGACATTTTAGATAAATTAGGACGATGCCAATATTTCACTACATTGGATTTAGCCTCCGGTTTTACACAAATCGAAATGGATGAAAATTCAATTCTGAAAACAGCGTTTAATGTAGAAAATGGTCATTACGAATATCTTCGGATGCCATTTGGTCTTAAAAACGCACCGGCTACGTTCCAAAGGGTAATGGATAATGTACTTAAAGACGTATTAAATAAAATATGCTTCGTATATATGGACGATATAATCATATTTTTAACTTCTCTTCAAGAACATGTTAGCAACATAAAACAAGTATTTAAAAGATTAAGAAAAGCTGGATTAAAAGTACAGCTCGATAAATCTGAATTCTTTTGTAAAGATGTAGAATTTTTAGGACATGTTATAACTCCCCAAGGTATTAAACCAAATCCAAAGAAAATATATGCAATAAAAAACTTCCCAATTCCAAAAACAGCAAAACAAATTAAATCATTCTTAGGACTTATCGGTTATTATCGACGATTTATAAAAAACTTCGCAAAATTAACTAAGCCTTTAACTTCTTGCCTTAAAAAAGGTGTCCAAATTAAACATACTCCCGAATTTAGTGAAAGTTTTGAACTTTGTAAAAATATTCTAATGAATGATCCCATTTTGCAATATCCTGATTTCGAAAAACCTTTTAACGTAACAACCGACGCCTCTAATTTTGCAATTGGTGCTGTTCTATCCCAAGGTCCCATAGGTAACGATTTACCTGTTGCTTTCGCATCAAGAACTCTAAATCCCGCCGAATGTCACTATAGCACAATCGAAAAAGAACTTTTAGCCATAGTTTATGCTGTCAAATATTTTCGACCCTATTTATATGGTACAAAATTTAATATTGTCAGTGATCATAAACCTTTGCAATGGCTTTTCTCACTAAAGGAACCAAATTCCAAATTAATAAGATGGAAGTTAAAATTAGAAGAATATGATTATAATATTATTTACAAAAAAGGTAAACTAAATACGAATGCAGATGCTCTTTCACGAGTAGAAATTCATCCTCTCGAAACTGAAGATGACAATCTCTCAATCTTAATGAACTTAGACCCTAGCGAGTTTATCGGTTATGAAACTGAAACGCAACTAAGAAATTTAGACTCCCAAGAAATTATATCTAGATCTCCTTTTAATTTTGATAACATTTTAACAGAAAATATAGATATTAATCCTTATCAAGATATAACACAAGAATTCATAGATGAAATCATTGATACAGAATTACCAACATCAAATAATGTCTCAGAAAATATTGAAAATAAAACATTAGCACCTGAACAAACACCTGAAGTAAATCCCAGTCCAAAAATCAAAATCCTACAAGATATTGTTATTTCTAACAAAGAAGAAAATAAAAAAGATTCAGATGACTTAGAAACTGTTCATACAAGTCTAGAAGACCCTATATTAAAAATACCTTATACAGAAAAAGCTATAAATGTATATAAAAATCAAATTATAATATCCTCTAGTAATACTACACAACCAAAAAACACATATGTAAAAATATTTGATAAAAATAGATACTATTGGCAAATACCTAAAGAAAAT